TAAACTAATATTTGAATAGTAATTTATAATTTATAAAACAATTTATAATAAAATAATTTGTTTAAAATAACCTAAATAAAATAAATGTATAATAAAATAACCTAAATAAAATAAACTTGTTGATTCTGCCTTTAGCCCCTGCAAGTAAAACCACTCTTCATAAGACTGGAATTGCAAGCAGCATTCTGGATGCAATCTCTCAGGGAAATGAATCACAACACACATTGGAAAAGTGTATTGCTTATTCTCCACCTTTTGGTGATTACGCACAGGTAAATAATTCCCAGGTTCTGATGATACACAGAAACATTGGTTCAACTATATATTGAGTTCACTGAATATGAAATTGTGGTTCCTATATTATTAACACAGGAAAATCAAATTGCACTGATCTATGTATTTCTTACTCATCATTTGAAATTTGGGAATGTGTTTAAGACATTATTTAGTATCATTTTGCACTAGATATTTACCTCTCATTGTTTACCTAGTGGTTGGCAAATTACAGCCCATAGACCAAATCTAGCCCACCACCTGGTTTTGTAAATAAATTTGTATTGTAACACAGCCATGTCCATTCATTAACATATTGTCTATGGTACTGACATGCTATAGTAAAAGAGTTGAGTGATGACAACAGAGACTATGTGGCCTGCAAGATTAAATATGTACTATCTGGTTCTTTATAGAAAAATGCTGCTAATCTTTGGTTTGCACTAGTATAGACCTGAGAAACCCAAGGGAATGCCTCTGTTCTTCTCCACTGTTTGTAGATGTAGAAAGATGATCATATTTACAGACACTACTGTGCTAACTTCTAAGCCAGTCAATCAATAACATAAAAGTATTATGTTCATAAGATATCCTGTGTCATTACTTAAATATGTCAGTTTTGCTTTGGCCCTTCTTCAGCTTACTCTTAGCGGTGTACGCTGAGTATATATCATGTTAGCCCTGTGTGATTATGGAATCATAAGAGTCTTATAATTATCAGTTCTGACTCTTACTGTCCTAGAACAGCCAGCTTCTTCTCAGCTCTATCCTGTTCGTTGGAGCCTTGTCTCCACTTGGATTTCCTTGGAGCAGCTCTGTGTTTGCCTGACCTGTCTCTAATAAACTTAGAAAAGAAAACCACTTAGAACAATTGACGCCTGATTATGCCTTTTTAATAGAGTACTAGAAATAACCCAAGTTCTGTAAAAATGGTGCAGCAGGATATTAGTGAAACATATGACATATCTTATATACCTGGGACAACATGGGAAAATATGGGTTGGGTAGATGATGTAATTAGGTGACAGTATATCTGTATTTAGAGAACAGTGATCACAAATTGCTGCAATCTGAAAGCATTCTCTTATATTGATTCATAAGACTCATCTTCAGTCCTTTATTAGATAACATTTGAAGTAATGACTTAGATAAAGACATTAATTGGAAAATTTATAAGATATAGTCCTGTACAATTCCAATTTGTTTCTTTTCAAGAAGCAAACTTTTTATAAACAGAAGCACAATAAATTTTTTAAAAATTCATTAAATACGTATTTAAGCTTTAAAAATTTTTTGAACTTACTTTTTCTTTTATTTCTTTTTAAATTTGCCTTTTTCTTAGCAGTTTTGCTTGTTAGATTACTATGATTTATTATATACTTATATACATACATATTATATACTTATATACATTCTATGTATTCTCATTGGAGAATGAGAATTTCTCCATTCTCATTCACACATGGAGAAATTCTGGAATAATGATGCCTTTTTCATTGCTCTATGTCTTCCTGCCTCCACACTTGCTTGCCCAGAGATATGGTGGGGGAATGAATCCTCCGTGCACTGTTCAGTGTCTCCTTTGACAGTCCCTGCTTCTTGCGCACGCTTGTTCATAAAATGGGATTTGTTCTGTCTCTCATGTTCTTTCTTCCTTATAAACTTAATTAAATGTTACTAATGGAACATTAAAGTAAATGGAATTTAACTAATGGAACTAAAGTAACTATTATAGAAAAAGGTGGTCGTGTATTAGGAATTCCTTCCACTATTACCACTGCTGGGATGAAGGAAGAAGTCTAAGGGAAAGGAACCAAAAGTGTTTGTTTTCTTTTTAACACTTGCTATATGCTTTGTGACGTAAGTGATTACTATTTCTAACAACCTTGTGAGATTTAAATGACCGCCTTCATGATACAAGTGGAGAAGCATGAAGGGGTAAATAATCTCTCCAAGTTCATACAGTTGGTAAGTGATTTCTTGATTCCAAAGGCCACATTATTTATACCATTGAGAAGTTTCTTCAGGCTTCGAAGTAATATCTGAGAGAAACTGTGTGGGCTGCTCTGCTTATGAATTAGGAGAGATGAATATGTCAAGGCATAGAGGGACAAAATAATCTTTATCTTCAATAAAACTATCAGATTTAAAAACCTAATTGGCATTTCCAGTATTGATGATGTTGCTTGTATCATACTATTTCCCTACAGATAACCATTATTAGAACTGGACTAAATATAAATGAAAACCAACTACTTGAAAGCACTAGAGAATGAATGACCAAAAGCAGGCGGAAATGCGAGAATTATTCCTAAAACAGGATAACATCACTGTATGATATTTGTGTTTCTATAGCTTTTTGCCTGATACTGCTCCCTAGATGGAGAAAGCTGCAGTCTCACCAGCTTAAGGAATCAGATGACAGAGTTCAGGACCGTTAGCAAGGATGTTAAGTGAAGGGGGAAATTGTGGAAAAGAGGGGGTTGCATAAGAAGGAGCCTCAAAATCTGTGTGTCAACTTAACCCGAATACAGTTGGCTGGCCCCTAAACTGTGTTTGTATGAGGGAAACTCCAAGGGACCTGGTAGAAAACAGCTGAAAGGCTAAAAGAACTGAGAAGAGATTCAACTCCTCTCCAGCGCAGAGGAGACAGAGTTTGGAGTTTGAGTTCAGCAAAGTTAACTCCTTCTAGAACAGAAATCAACATTCATCAGAGGAAGATAATAGAATCTGTAGCCTCTACAATATATTATAGTAATCAATATGTCCAGTAGAACAAAATTACTAGATAGTTGAAGAAGCAAGAAAATGTGACTCACAATTAAGAGAAAAAGTAGAAACTGACCCCAAGGTGACCCAGATGTTGGTCTTGTAGACAATAACCACAAAACAGCTATTATAAATATGTTTAGGAACTTAAAAGAAAATAAAGTAATAATGAACAGATATGGAATCTCTGCCAAGAGATATAAACTAAAAAATAACAACTTTGGAACTGAAAACTATAGTATCTGAAATAAATACACTGGATGGGCATAGCAGAAGATTGGAGAGGCCAGGAAAAAAGGTTCGGTTAACATAAAGACAACTCAATCTGAAGAACACAAAGAAAAGAGATTTTTAAAAGCCCAGTGGAACATATCCTCAGGGACCTGAGGGAAAATATAAAGCAGTCTAAAATACATGTAAATGGAGTCCTGGGAGAAGAAGAGAAAGATAATGGGGGCACACATTATTTGAAAAAATAATGGTCAAACATTTTCCAGATTTGCTTCAAAAAACTTACAGATCTAACAGGCTTGGAGGTCCTCCTGCATAGCAGGATAAATAAAAGGAAATTTTTACCTAGGCACATTATAGTTAGTATGCTGAAAACTATAGTTATAAAGAGATAATCTTGAGAGCAACCAGATAAAAACAATGCACATTATCTTAAGACAGGTTTCTCAATCTTGGTACTATTAACATTTAGGGCTGGATGATTCTCTCTTAAGTGGGAAGGGCTATTCTGTGCTTGTAGGAGATTTGGCAACATCCTTGTCCTCTAACCCCTAGATTGCCCCCACCAGCACACACACCATTGAGAACCACTGGGTTAAGGCAACAGTAAGCATGCAGGTGACTAAAAAAGATTATATATTTTCTCTTTATTTAAAAGCAAAAATTTTAACATATAGGGTTTATAATGTATATAGATATAGTATATTTGATAGCAATAGTGTAAAGGACAATAAGGTAAATGAAATTATGGTTTTGGGGTTATGTTTTACATGAAGTACATCAAAAGTAACTCTGAGTAGGCTGTGATAAGTTGTGGAACGCATATTGTAATCCATACAGCAACCATTAAAAAATTATACAAAGAGATATAGCTAAAACATGAACAGTTTAATTACAATGAAATTATAAAAACATTTGATTAAGCCAAAATATGCCATGAAAGACAAAAACAACTAAGTCTAATAAAAACAAATATCCGAGTGGTAAACCTAAATTGAACAGTAGTTATAATTCTATCAAATGAAAACAGCCTGCATTATAACAAATTTTCTTTTCTAATATTAAAAAATTTTTAATTTTAGGTTTGGGGGTACACGTGAAGGTTTATTACATAGCTAAACACGTGTCACAGGGGTTTTTTGTGCATATTATTTCATCACCCAGGTATTAAGCCCAGTATCCAATAGTTATCTTTTCTACTGCTCTCCCTCCTCCCACCCTCCACCGTTATGTAGACAGCAGTCTGTTGTTTCCTTCTTTGTGTTCATAAGTTCTTATCATTTAGCTCCCACTTACGAGTGAGAACGTGTGGTATTTGGTTTTCTGTTCCTGCATTAGTTTGCTAAGGATAAAAGCTTCCAACTCTATCCATGTTCCCACAAAAGACATGATCTCGTTCTTTTTTATGGCTGCATAGTTTTCCATAGTGTATATGTACCAAATATCCAGCCTGTCACTGATGGGCATTTCGGTTGATTCTTTGTCTTTGCTATTGTGGATAGTGCTGCAGTGAACATTTGTGTGCATGTGTATTTATGATAGAATAATTTATATTCCTCTGGGTATATACGCAGTAATGGGATTGCTAGGTCCAGTGGTAATTCTGTTTTTAGCTCTTTGAGATTTTGCTACACTACTTGCCACAATGGTTGAACGAATTTACACTCCCACCAACAGTGTATTAGTGTTCCCTTTTCTCCACAACCTCACCAGCATCTGCTATTTTTTGACATTTTAGTAATGGCCAATTCTGACTGGTATGAGATGGTATCTCATTGTGGTTTTGATTTGCATTTCTCTAATGATCAGTGATATTGAACTTTTTTTCATATACTTGTTGGCCGCATATGTGTCTTCTTTTGAGAAGTGTCTGTTTATGTCCTTTGCCTACTTTTTAATGGGGTTGTTTGCTTTTTTCTTGTAAATTTAAGTTCCTTATAAATGCAGGATATTAGCCCTTTGTCAGATGTATAGTTTGGAAAAATTTTCTCCTATTCTG